CAGCAACATTGGAGAGACGATAACCGGCATCAATGGTCGTCTGACGCTGCAGTGGGACGGTGTGAACAAGAAGATGAGCAATGACCACGTCCCCACTGTGTATGAGATCCATCACGGCATCATCATTGGCACCCTCTGCAAGCTTCGTTGCAGCAACAATACGAGGATTCATGGCATTTTCCAACGCGGTGGCACGGGCATTTAACAATCCTTTCACAACAGCAGAGACACCGTTTGTATCGACTGTCGTGTTGTGTGGAGGCTCTGTACTCGTCTCATTCACAACACGTTGTGGACATGTCTGTGCAATGACAGCCGCCAGGTCCCAATTTTTATTCGACTGACGAGAAACAAGAAGAGCGGCACGAGCACTCTCTTCAGCCATAATAAAATAACGCAAAGCACGTGTGTTTCCAGCGGCTTCCATCGTCTCCGCTGCTTTTAGACAAAGTGAACGCCAGAAATCGCGGCTAACGACAGGCGCTGCAGCAATGGCACGGTCCCATTCACCCACTTCAGCCATCAACTGACAATACTCGGCAACTTTCCCAATCTGCAACATAAACTCGGCTGCTTCTATAATACGAGACTTCTTGTACTCCTCACCTGCGTTCGTCACGGTTTTACCATGTGACTTCTCCACATTGGTCTTTCCCCACTTTCCATGCACTTCCACAAGTCGTGAAGTGGGCACAACAGTACACTTTGCGTTGGATACGTCCTGTGGATCAACAGAAAACCCTGCCGCCCGCGCCAAATCTACCGCTCCACAGGGAAATTCAAACATCCGGACAAGTCGTTCCATCCGTTTGTGCGGCGCGAGATTCGCTTCTTTCAACTCCTTATTTAGCTCCTGCACGACATCACCGGTCACCAAATGGGCAGGGTCCACAAAAGAAGAAGCAGCAGCGCTGGCCAAAAGAGAGGCGCCATCCGATACAATGCAATGCTCAATTCTGCCCAGAGCGGCCTCAAGGTACACTTGTCTCAGTAGTCCCAAATGCCAAAAGATGATGCTGTTATCATGCGAAACGGAAGCAAACACAGGCGGACGCTCGGGATGCGTGCTCAATGCTATAACCTCCGCATTGTGAGCACGAACAGTTGCCAAATTACTTCCACCACGCACATCCCATAGCCGCACTGTACAATCAGACGAGGCAGAAAGAGCAATATACGGAGCAATACTGCACCATGCAATGGCATTTACACTATTTGTATGTCCACGTAATACACGGCATGAAACAGAAGCAGTATGCGATGCTCCTGAATAAAGATCCCATAGCCGTAATGTGGTGTCATGACTACAGCTAAGAAGAAAGTTTGGTACAGTCGGATTATATGCCACACTACTAGCCGCAGCCATGTGGCCTGTAAGTATGAGCGCGGGTTCTTCACGACTTGAGCTGATGTGAAACACAAGTACTTGCCCATCCTGACACGCCGCGGCAAGGTGCTTTGGATGTTTTCTGTCAAATTCTATGCCCAAAACAGGGGACTTTGTCTTGTAATGACGTAAAATTTTACCGTCACGCGCAGAAATCACAGCCAGACCGTCACGATGGGAAGCTGCAATATGACCGCCCGACTCTGTGCAGCTCCACGACACAAAATAGACGGTGCTCACAGTTGTCACACTGACCCGCCAGTGCTCACGTTGAGTATGCACATAATAACAAACAACCTCGCCGTTACTAAGCCCGGCGGCAAGATATTTACCAGATAGACTCCAGTCCATAGAGCGCACTATTAC